TCCCTTAGCCATTTTCCAATCGGAACCGAGTGTGAGGCGCCATCACCTGCGTCGCTGGCTTAAGGATAACACCATGGGCGATGCGGACATTCGAGATGTCCTCGATTGGAACTACTACATAGAGAGATTGGGTGGCACCATCCAGAAGATTATCACCATCCCGGCTGCGCTGCAGGGATTGGCAAATCCTGTGCCCAGGGTGCAGCATCCAGATTGGTTGCACAAGAAAATGCTGGAAAAGAATGATGTGCTGAAGCAGCGTCGCATCAACGAGATGTTCACCAGCAGACCCAAGCCGAAACCTTTGGCTACCGAGGAGGATAAGCTGGCGGATATGGAGGATTTGGCTGGCAGAGATGGCGGAGAGGATGCTGCAGGTCGTCCCATGGTCACGAAAAGAAAGCGGGTTCAGCTGGACGAGAATGAAGAGGAAGAGCAGGCGCAACCCCAGGCCACCACTTGGCGTCAGGCTCTGGGCGCACCACCAGCCATAGGAGATACCAGGAAAACCATTGTGGAGTGGGTGAAATTCCAGAAGAAGAAATGGAAATGGCAGCAGGATCAGCGACAGCGGAATCGCCAGGCCAGCAAGCGAACCCGCAGCGACGATCCTCCAGTTGTGAGGGCCACAGGACCCACTGCTACCTTGGGTGGCTTCCTGAGACGAGCACAACGCACGTTGTTAGATCAACCCTGGCAGATTCTGCAGCTGGTGCCCATCGATGATCTGGGACACTTTACCGTTTGGGCTTTGATCGGCGAAGAGCTGCACAGGATCAAGTTGACAGTGCCGAGGATATTCTATGTGAATCAACGTAGTGCTGCTCCCCCGGAGGAGGGTCAATTGTGGCGCAAGGTCAACCGAGTCTTACCTCGATCCAGACCGGTTTTTAACCTCTACAGATATAGTGTGCCAGAGCAGCTTTTCCGCGATAATTCCCTGGGAATGCTGGCCGATCTGGCCACGCCCGATATCGAGGGCATCTACGAGACTCAGATGACTCTGGAGTTCCGGGCCCTCATGGACATGGGCTGCATTTGTGGCGTGCAACGGGAAGAGGCACGCCGCTTGGCCCAACTGGCTACCAAGGATCTGGAGACCTTCAGCATCGAGCAGCTGGAGCAGCGTCCCCAGACCCAGGTGAAGTATCTGGCGAGTGCCAACAACCGGATGCGCAAGATCTACCTGTACCAGCACAACACGCCAACGGCCAAGAAGGAGATCTGGTCACTGATTCTGATGCCCAGCAAGAAGGGCTACATCTTCGCCTTGGACACGGTGCGCGCCAATCAGATGCCCAACATGCGGCAGCTGTATACCGCAGAGCGTTTGGCCTTGCTCAAGAATTTGACAGCCGAGGAGCAGGCCAAGATTCCCGTAGAGGATTACACCTTTGAGGTTATCATAGAGGTGGATGTAAAGCAAATTTACCGGCACATCCAGCGGGCTCTGACCACCTACAAGCAGGAGCACCAGGGACCCACCATTCTGTGCCTGCAAACGGCCCTGGAGGCGCGAAAGCTCAGCCTGGCTATGCCCATCCTGCTGGAGTTCCCCCAGGCCCAGATCCACATCTCCGATGATGCTAGTTTGCTGTCTGGCTTGGATTGGCAGCGTCAGGGTTCCAGAGCAGTTGTCCGTCACTTCCTGAATCTGAATAATGTGCTTGATTTGATGCTGGATCAGTGTCGCTATTTCCATGTGCCCATTGGCAATATGCCGCCCGATACGGTGCTATTTGGAGCGGATTTGTTCTTCGCCCGGCTGCTGCAGCGGCACAACTTTGTGCTTTGGTGGTCGGCGAGTACGAGGCCGGATTTGGGTGGCCGGGAAGCGGATGACAGCCGTCTGTTGGCGGAATTTGAGGAGAGCATTAGTGTGGTGCAGAACAAAGCCGGTTTCTATCCGGATGTTTGCGTGGAACTGGCACTCGACAGTCTGGCGGTGAGTGCTCTGCTGCAATCTACGAGGATTCAGGAGATGGAAGGTGCCTCCTCTGCCATTACCTTTGATGTGATGCCGCAGGCCTCGCTGGAGGAGATGATCGGCACAGTTCCGGCTGCCACATTGCCGAGCTATGATGAAACGGCCCTCTGCTCGGCTGCCTTCCGTGTGATGCGGTCCATGGTGAATGGTTGGTTGCGGGAGGTGTCCATCAATAGGAACATCTTCTCCGACTTCCAGATCGTCCACTTCTATCGATGGGTCCGCTCTAGCAATGCCTTACTGTATGATCCTGCTCTGAGAAGATCCCTTAACAATCTGATGAGGAAAATGTTCCTGCGCATTATAGCGGAGTTTAAGAGATTGGGCGCCACCATTGTTTATGCGGACTTTAACAGGATCATTTTGAGTTCCGGCAAGAAAACCGTCTCCGATGCCCTGGGCTATGTCGATTACATTGTGCAGAGTTTGAGGAACAAGGAGATGTTCCACTCAATCCAGCTGAGCTTTGAACAGTGCTGGAACTTTATGCTCTGGATGGATCAGGCTAATTTCTCTGGAATAAGGGGAAAACTTCCAAAGGGAATTGATGAGACAGTGTCCTCCATAGTTTCCACTACCATGCGGCGAGATCCGGAGGACAACGAAGACGGGGAGGAGGATGAAGAAGAGGATATGGAAAATCGAGATCCAGTTGAAAGCAACGAACCGGAGCAGGATCAGGAGGAAGAGCTCTCCCTGGAGCTCAATTGGACCATTAGCGAGCAACTGCCCGATGAAAACGAGTGCCGGGAGAAGTTTGAGTCCCTCTTAACCTTGTTCATGCAATCCCTGGCTGAAAGGAAGACCACGGAGCAGGCCATCCGGGACATATCGCACTGCGCCTTTGACTTCATCCTCAAGCTGCACAAGAACTATGGCAAGGGCAAGCCCAGTCCGGGACTTGAGCTGATCCGCACCCTGATTAAGGCGCTGAGTGTAGACAAAACGCTGGCGGAGCAGATCAACGAGCTGCGGAGGAATATGCTGCGCCTGGTGGGGATCGGTGAGTTCTCGGACATGGCCGAGTGGGAGGATCCCTGCGACAGCCACATTATCAACGAGGTCATCTGCAAGGCATGCAATCACTGCAGGGATCTGGATCTCTGCAAGGACAAGCACCGCGCCATGAAGGATGGAGTGTGAGTATAGGAACCTTGATATCTAATTTAATTTAATTAATTATGTTAACCCTTTCAGACCCGTTTGGCTTTGTGCCCAGTGCTATGTGGCCTATGATAACGAGGAGATCGAGATGCGTATGCTGGATGCCCTGCAGCGCAAGATGATGTCCTATGTGCTGCAGGATCTGCGCTGCTCGCGCTGCAGCGAGATTAAGCGCGAAAACCTCGCCGAGTTTTGCACCTGCGCCGGCAACTTTGTTCCCCTCATCAGCGGCAAAGACATCCAAACCCTTCTAGGAACGTTTAGCAAGGTGGCCATCAACCATAAGATGCAGTTGCTTCAGCAGACAGTCCATCAGGCACTGAACACACCGCGTTAAGTGGATGTTGTGCTATTTGTTTGTTATTTGTAGATTGTAGGACTCGTTTATAAGTTTTGCTGCTAAATATATATGGTTAACGAAATTAAAATTATTTATGGTTGTATGATATGATATAATGAAGAAATTTTGTTTAGTTTAGCTGAATTTGTATCTTGATTCAGCTTTCTTTAGGAATTAAGTTTTATGATCAATTATTACTTTTTGGGCTTTGAGGATTTTTTTCTTTTCATTTAGATCATTGATTAAAAAGGAAGATCAAGATCATAAAAACCATAAATGATTACAGCGATACAAACACTTTTTTCAGTTTTTATAGCCACTCTGTACAGAATTAATTCATTCCGAGATGACGAAGTGATGAAAAAACGATGAGATATGATTGTGAGGTATAACACTGCATAATTCCTTGAAATTCACACACTTTAAATGGTTTTTACAAACGTTTCGCTTGTCGTTTTCCCGATTTTATTGGTTGTTGTTGACGTATATTGCCCGCGGTTTTGTAGACGCACATACGAAATCAGCAGCAGAACTTAAAGCAATTAGACTAAGTCATAGGCGAGGTTCGATCTTTACTGGGCGCCCTGGCTAATGGGGTCAACCTTGACCTCGGGGAACTTGAATTCGGGGAACTTCAGCATGTCGGTCTTGCCATCGCTTCCAAACTGCTTGGCCACACGGTCCAGTTCGGTCTTAAGCTCTTTCTCAATTTGGGGATTGGAGTCCACCAGCTTGCCGCCACTGTGGAAACAAAAAATAGTGATTACTTTTTGGTCATTACCAGGATTTGGGCCCCAAAACTCACGCGCTCTTCTGCTTGTACTCGCGCACTTTGTCCAGGAACAGCTGCTGGATGGGATCGGAGGCCTTGTTCAAGGCGGGGGCGACGATTCCGAAGTTACGACGGGCCTCGGTGCGCAGGACGCGCACGCCATTCAGCAGGGATTGCGACAGCATCTGGAAATAATGGAACTTTGTTAAAATTGCATATTTCGGCTTCCCTCATATGTAACCTTAAAAAGGTTATGTAATACGAGTTGTTGTTTTGCGGGTTTGTGGATTGTTTCGAAGCTGATTTTGCATGCAGGTCCCACAATTCTTCTGTCCACACTCTCTGAATTATTTTGATTTTATTTAAACTGTTATTTTCACCTTATTTTCCTTAGCAAATGCAAACTTTCGTGCGGAAAAGTCTCAATTGTCGGTTCACAATGGCAGCTGACGTTAGGGATGGTCACGTGACCGATTATTGGAATACTACTCGAGCACGAAAGGCTAAGTATCAAATTGGCGATCCTTGCGATAAAACATTTAAATAAAAAAAATGTTTTTAAAATTTATTTAAGACAACAAAACAAACTGTACATAAATCAGTAGAGCTTCGCTGTTTATATTGGTTATACTTTTTTTAAAATAAATATCACGAGAAATGGCCATCGCTAGCTCCGAAAGACCAAGTCCGTCAATAATACCGACTCCGAAAAAAATGTTTAGCCAACTGACGCTATCCTTGCTTGGTCACACTGCTCGTCCAGGTTCCACGTCAAGCGCCGGAAAAAAAACACGACAACTTGCATTTATTTAATTTATCTGGCGACCGGACGAACGGAATTCGAGCAAGATGGTGAGCCTGGTGCAGGAGATCGACACCGAGCACGAGGACATGGTCCACCACGCGGCGCTGGACTTCTACGGCCTGCTGCTGGCCACCTGCTCCTCGGACGGCAGCGTCCGCATCTTCCACTCGCGCAAGAACAACAAGGCGCTGGCGGAGCTTAAAGGACACCAAGGACCCGTGTGGCAGGTGGCATGGGCCCATCCCAAGTTCGGCAACATCCTGGCCTCGTGCTCCTACGACCGCAAGGTGATCGTCTGGAAGTCCACAACGCCCAGGGATTGGATTAAGCTGTAAGTAAACGCACACAGGCACGGGCACACCCATACAAACAAGGGAGTAGATTGTAGGAGGATCGGCTTTAGAATACCCATTAATCAAAATCTTTCATGTCTTGTAGTTCTGAAAAGCAAGAAGTATATAATCAACAATGTTTACGATTCATTGGATTCAGTTTTAAAATAATTTCTTTAATGGCATTCAAAAGCAAATCCATTTTGCATTTGAAAATTTGATAAATGTTGTAAAATCTTGAAAAATAAAGAACACAAAAAATTAGATAGAAGGACTAGTAATTAGTATTACCTTGTTTTTAAAAATGTGGCATATAAAGTAATACTAAAGCTATAAAAATATGTATTTATTGATTAACAATTAAAAAAACATTGAGGGATTCCCAAAATTTATATATCACATTAGTAGATTCAACTATGAATCTTCTTCTTGTTGGAATATTAAATATATTTTCCTCATTTAAAAGTTTTTTTATCACCTCAAACTACCTTTGGAGCCCCAGAGAACAGGGTACCAAAAGAGCACACACCCACACTTGCCTAAACATAAACTACATATGTCATTTATATGTTTGGACTCTTGTTATCACTAAAAGTCTGCCACATCTAACCGTTGCGCTTGCCACATTTCAGCTATGAATACAGCAACCACGACTCGTCGGTGAACTCGGTGGATTTCGCCCCATCGGAGTACGGATTGGTGCTGGCTTGTGCCAGTTCGGATGGCTCCATTTCGGTGCTCACCTGCAACACGGAGTACGGTGTGTGGGACGCCAAGAAGATACCGAATGCCCACACCATCGGAGTGAATGCCATCTCGTGGTGCCCGGCACAGGCTCCGGATCCGGCATTTGACCAGCGGGTAACCTCGCGATCGACGGCCGTGAAACGCCTGGTGAGCGGTGGATGCGATAATCTGGTGAAGATCTGGCGCGAGGACAACGACCGCTGGGTGGAGGAGCAGCGCCTGGAGGCGCACTCCGATTGGGTGCGCGATGTGGCCTGGGCGCCGTCGATCGGTCTGCCACGATCGCAGATTGCCACGGCTTCGCAGGATCGCCATGTGATCGTGTGGAGCAGCAACTCAGATCTGACACAGTGGACTTCGAGTGTGTTGCACACATTCGATGATGCCGTGTGGAGCATCTCGTGGTCCACCACCGGCAATATTCTGGCCGTCACTGGTGGGGATAATAATGTCACGCTGTGGAAGGAGAACACCGAAGGCCAGTGGATCCGCATCAACTACGAGTCTGGCACGGCCATCCAGTCCAAGCAGCCCTCGCACCTTCCCCATTCCCACTCCCAGCAGCAGCAGCAGGCGCCTCAGCAGCAGCAGCACCAGCAGCAGGCGCCTTCCCATCCTGGTCCATCTTCGGACTCGGAGCACAGCTCGAACCTGTCCAACTCGCAGCTCTCCAACTGAGCAATCCCGTGAAGAAGTGCTAAAGTCGTGGTCAGAAGTGTTATCTTACAAATATATGCTATACTAAATACAAAATAATGTTCCCCCTATAAACTCTGTTTTTTTTTAAACATTATTTTTTGAAATTGGAGCTATACCTCTAGAAGTTTAAACTTAATTTTGCTTTTAATAAGATGTTTTTTATGATTAAAATTTTGGAAAAATGTCTGCACTGACTTGATTATTCTATTTTTTTGAGACGATTTGTTTTTTCAAGACTAAAATAGCTTAGAATGCGCAAGGGAAAAGAATATAAATTATTTTTAAAACAGTTTTTTAAAAGTGTATTCAAAATATTTTTAATTGTTGGCAACGTCTTAGCTAAGTTATGCTCCCCACATGGCGTTGCCACATCGTTACTCCGTAAAAACATCGATAGACATGAGAAATTTCCACCTCCTGATATCGATTTGCGTTAATGGTACTTAAAAATAAAAGTTGGTAAAAAAAAGTCATTCCTTTTATTATTTAGTTGTTGGTAAGTGATTAAAAATGATTAATTTCAATACTAAGCCGTGCAACTAAATTATTAAAAAATTTGTTGGGTTCATAACACGTTTAATACCATTAAGTATGAGTATTTTTTATTATTTATTAATGTATAACAAAAACTCAATGAGACAATAATTTCATAGTTTTGGGATTACTGAAAATATACATCAGGCAGAATGTGAAAATATATGCCAGTGGAATTAAGCTATAATTGAATGGTATTTCTTGATACTAAACAGTCTATAATGGTATTTAAATTTGGGCCGGACGGTATTTTTTATTGTTATCGGCCCGGTCACACTATTTCTTTCTTTTCTGCGCACCACGTTTCCGATTCGACGTCAAAATGAATGCGACCCTTCCGATTTCCAAGAAACGCAAGGTAATTGGATGAAAATGTCCCAGGAATACGTTCAGGATACATTCCTGGTGTCGCCCGTTTGTTGTTTCCCCGGGGTTGTGTGAAAAAGCGGTCCGGAAAGTGCAAAAACCCAAAAGGTTCGGAGATAACCTCAAAGCGGGTGGGCGTCCGAGAAATTTTGAAGCTCAACAACGCGTGGTGAAACAACAACAATGAGGCGGTACACGGCTTATGGATTTTTGGTAATAATGGTTCTCGTTTTACCCCATAGTTCGTTTCCGATGGCATCTTCAAGGCCGAGTTGAACGAGTTCCTGACTCGCGAACTGGCCGAGGATGGTTACTCCGGCGTGGAGGTGCGTGTGACCCCGTCCCGCACTGAGATCATCATCATGGCCACCAAGACCCAGCAGGTGCTGGGAGAGAAGGGCCGTCGCATCCGGGAGCTGACCGCCATGGTGCAGAAGCGTTTCAACTTCGAGACCGGACGGATTGAGCTGTACGCCGAGAAGGTGGCCACTCGCGGCCTGTGCGCCATTGCCCAGGCTGAGTCGCTGAGGTACAAACTCACCGGAGGACTGGCCGTCCGCAGGGCTTGCTATGGTGTGCTCCGTTTCATTATGGAGTCCGGAGCCAAGGGCTGCGAGGTCGTCGTGTCCGGCAAACTGCGTGGTCAGCGTGCCAAGTCCATGAAGTTCGTCGATGGTCTGATGATCCACTCTGGAGATCCGTGCAACGACTACGTCGAGACCGCCACTCGTCACGTTCTGCTGCGCCAGGGAGTGCTCGGCATCAAGGTCAAGATCATGCTGCCCTACGATCCCAAGAACAAGATTGGGCCCAAGAAGCCACTGCCCGACAACGTGTCCGTCGTGGAGCCCAAGGAGGAGAAGATCTACGAGACGCCCGAGACCGAGTACAAGATCCCGCCGCCCAGCAAGCCACTGGACGATCTGTCCGAGGCGAAAGTTTTGTAAACCTAGTTTTACTGTTCATCCAATGAGCGACTAGCTGAAGGAGTTGCCCTCAAATACAACAAAACAACAGAAACAAAACAAAAACCCATAATTCAATAAACACAACCAATAAGTAATAACCTGGAGGAGCACCCAGTGCGGATCTCATTTGTGCAGTGCAGTGTAGAGTGCGAGGGTTGGCCCAAAAGTTGCCACTGTTCGGTGTCCAAAGTCTGATGTCTGATGTAGACCCGTTTTTAAGATTAAAGGAGGCATAAAGGTTAAACAGCTTGGCAGCTTTGAAGCTTTCATAATATAACTGTTTCTTTTGCAAATAATGTTTTAATCGTATTGATGACAACTATGTAATATATTAGCAAATTTTTTTTGTTTTATACTGTTTTAGCAAGAAAGCATTTAGTCCAAATCGAGCTAAGGGTCAAATATCCATATTGCATAAATTGAGATATTTTCGTTTCCTATATACAGATCACTGTTTTTGGAAATTTATAAAAATCAAACAAATATATTTGTATGTTGTCATTGGATAGATTTTTTCAATTTATTAACTCGAAAGCGAATTCAAATATACATTTTAATCAAATTTTGTAGTAAAGAGCGGGCCACTTTGGCATTATTTTAATTATTTAAAACTAAATTGTATATGAATTTTCAATTTTTCAACCAATAGGGTATTTAAATTTTGCCTTGCCGAACTTGATTTCATTGCATGTTTCGCTTTGCTTCGCAGCATTTTATTTCCATTTCTTGTGAAGCGGAAATCAGCGATTAAAACGGCTCACATTTTGTCCAGTTGCCTGCTGATTTATGAGGCTGTCCTTCGGGCAACATGAGTGTCCGGTGTGTGTCTGCGATTTTCTGGGACCGCTGATAGCCCGGTCCTCTTATTTATCATGTTGATATGTTTATTTCCCAGCTGGCACAGTGACACGGCCCCGGGCAATTGCAGCGTGAAAATCAACAATCGTTCAATTTATCAAGAGAAAGAGATTTTTTTATTTTTTTTTTTTTGCACAGAGAGTTCGTGCCCGTTTGGAACGGGCTGAAATCGCAGCTGCAGCACACGATCCTCGATCCCGATGACAAATGGCCACATGCAACACTCCTCCTCGCCCAGATGGAGGTGGAGCAATTTTAGGAGGAGGAACAGGCGGCTTGTCTCGGCGGCATCACGCATCAAGTTGCGATTTGCGCCATAAATCTAAATTAGCTGGCTCGTAGGAGAGCCGTGCCGCGGTTCCTGGTTGGCAATAGGCTCCTCCACTTGCCCCAATCAATTAGGTGCACATAAAAGCAGACGAAACAAATTTCCAGGCCATCTGCTGCGACTGTGAGAAATTTTTCCTAGTTGCAATTGTTCTGGCCATTGTTGTTATTGCGATGTTGTTGCGGTTCATTTCAACGCTGGCATAATTCATAAAGAACCTTTTAAACACGACTTTGAACGTATGATTTCAACACAATTTGTAAATAAATTAGATCGTGATTATGGCAACATCAATATCGCCAGCAACATCAACATCAGCAGCAGCCACAGCAGCAACAGCATCCCCGCAGCAGCAACATTATTAACCGGCCAATGTCTGGCATGTGTGGCTGCCATAGCTCTCCTACTAACTATATATTATAATGGCCCAAACAACAAAGCGAAACCAAAACAAAAACTCGACAATTGCCGTCAACAAGTCTGCAATGTCGGCAGCAATGTGTTGCTGGTGTTGCTAGTCCATGTTGCTGTTGTGCGCCAGAGTGCAACATGCATATTGTCTGTCGGCTGCGCAGGTTCATAACTCGCCTGTCAGCTGCCAGCCTGAGTTCTGACATAGCCAGCTAAATCAGGTAGGACACTGATTTTATACACTCTAGATCCTAACTTAAAGCTTGGTCATATCTCTTAGTAATGGCATTAAGTTATAGGTATTTGTAATTTTTAATGGTTATTGAGTTGTTTTTATGAGAAATTTTGAAATGTAAATAAGTAAGCAATAAGATTAAGATATTTAAAACCGAGATAACGATCAAGAGTTCGCTGTTTCTGTTTACATAAGGTTTACATAACTTATTTCTGCAGATAACTGAAAAGTTCCTAACGTCTTCATTTTCTTACATTTAAAAAATGTGTTTTTATATTTATAAAGATTTATATTTCTAAATAACCTTTTAGGTCAAATTTAAATTAATCCAAAATCGATTTTTGAATAATGTTAAATTATTCTTTGGACTGCCTACTACAAATGTGAATTTGAAAATATGAAAAATGTTAATCTCTGTCCCGATAATTCCTGATCTTGCGGAACAAACCACAAAACCAATGGACCCCATTCTTCTATCAAGTGAACAATAACAATGCATCGTAACTGTAATAGTTGCAACTATTTTTGTAAGGTTGTTCGAGTCTGACTATATTTGCTTTGATTTACCAACATTATTATGAGGTTTTGTGTCATGATTTTGCCATCATTATTTAGCATTAAGAAACGATGGCGCGTAATGTGTTTTTCATGTGAACTGCCAGGCCAGACGACATTTATCATCATCATAGTCCCCATCAGATGGTGGCTCCGCGTGGATTTGGATTTGGATGTGGAGTTGTAGTTGGAGCAGGGGATTTGGGGAGCCACTGATCATTGGTAATAGCCACGTTTGCCGGCCTCCTGCACGATCGTTTGGAGTGAGGCGAAGGCTTCGCCGGCCGTGGGCTCGATCTCCTTGGCGGACAAGATGAACAGATCCTCACTGTCCGCCGGTCCACGAAGCTCATAGGAGAAGGTAATGGGTATCTTTAGGTGGCCATGAGCCCAATCCTTTGACCCACCAGCCGACGGATAGATGGTCTCGTAAATGCTGCCGCTCTTGTAAATCCTACCGCTCAAATCCTTGATCCTCTGAGCAGCCAGTTGGCCTATTTCCGTCAGATCCTGGTAGTTATCGACACGTTTCGCGCTGTGTCCATAGGGGAACATGATCATCTGCGAGTAGCTGTGCAGCGCTATAAAGGTACGAATGCGATCGGATTGAATGTGCTGCTCCAGGAACTGGACTATCCGTTGGGTTTCCAGCTCACTCCCAGCCGATGGACCTGAGTAGTCGTAGCGACAGGGATCACCACTGGCTCCCGTAACGTTCCAGTGGAAGGGGAAGTTCCGGTTGAGATCCACACCACGGCAGATTCCGAAGAGAGCCCGATTCTTGCGCCACATGCGATCGCCCTCGAAGGTATAGCGATATCCATCGGGATTTACGGTGGGAAAAATCAACCAGTTTTGAGAGCGAGCTAATTCCTGAATGGCCGGATCCTCGGAGTTCAGCAGCTGGTCAATAAAATAGGTAGCTGTGGCCGGAGCAATCCACTCCCGAGCATGGATGCCACTCTCCACAAAGACACTGGTTAGATTCTCCTTTCCGAAAGCGATTCTCACACCCTTAATGGGCAATCCCTGGGTGCTGGCACCCAGATCCACCAGGCTAACCACATCAGACCTTTTTTTGGCCAGACTTTCCAGCCAGGCGTAGATGTTCTCCAGAGGATAATAGCGTTTCCAGTCGAATTGGTCGGGTGTTGTTCCTGGAGGAGCCACCTCGCGGTAGTTGGCATCGATCAAGGACTGGAAATTGTGGTTCAGTACCCGATGGGTGACATTGTAGCTGTGCACCAGGTCATCGAAGTCAGCCACCTTGGCAGCCGTAACCATAATGGTCAGTTTTTGACCTACCACTCGGGCATGTCCCATGAAAGAGCACGAATCGCTGGCCAATTCCAGGGCCTGAAAGATCCGGACGTGCTCATCACTGGCCAGTTCCACCTGGTAGATGCGAGTGTAATCGTAGCGGGCTTGGATAGGAGCTGGAAGAGCAATCTGCTTGACCTCCTCATCCACGGCACACTGATCCTCCTTGGAGCAGAAACTAGCTGCCTTTGATTCCTGGAGGTCACTCAAAATGGCGATGATGAGAAGTAACAGCAGCGGCTTGGGAATCCATTGATGTATCATCTTTAGTCTCAGACAGTCGAAATCTATTTAAAATTTGAAAATATTTCTTTGTCTCACTTAGGTGGATTACATACACCAAAGAAAATGGTGATAAGGAAAAATAGGAAATTTAAAAGTCGACCGACTGATTCTTTAGAATGTGTTTAAAATTATTTAAAATAGTAGGCTCGATAGTGATTTTATTAATAGTCCCAATTTAAGTTGGCTGCATGCTAAGATTTCTTGAAGTCAAGACTTAATTTAATAAGGAGATGTAACATTAAAATTAGTTCATTATAAAGTTAAAATATTAAAAAATAATAAATATTTACAAGTTGAAGTCCAGATCAACGCTTTTATCTTAGTCTTACATTCTGATTAGTAAGTTAAACCTTAATTAAACATATTATACATTTTTCTGTTACTACTGCTAGCCGTATTAACCTTATAATTTTACCGATTTAAAGGGTATTAACTAATATATGATACTTAGTCAGCAAATCTCTTATATATGTTTGTGTGTACATATGATAAGCTTCTCCATCGAGCTTTCATTTCTCAATTCATCTCTGTTCTGAGCCGATCTGCCTGATCTCCTGATCCCCTTCTCCTTGCCGGCGGGCAATCGAAGTCAACGATTTATGAGCACCTTTCATAACACTTCATTAGTTACATTTTTGGTAGAATTTATAGCGCAATCGCAATAGGAAAACGTTTAACGAGCTTGTTCTCGAGCGGGGAGAACGCGGAGCGGACCAAATTTGGTCGGGCAATTGCCTCGATGGCAACAAGTGGATGGCGCAACCTGAGTCCAAGTCCAGTGCCGTTGCCATGTTACCGAGTCACCAAGTTACCATGTCGCCGAGTTGCGTCTTCGTTTCAACTTTGTTGCCAGCTCAGGAACCAATTAAACTCGATGTGCTCAAATATTTGGCGTTGCTAATGGAGCTTAAATGGTAATGTGGTCCAAGGTTTCCCCACAGAGATCTTCTTCTTCGGCGGCTGTATTGCTATATCTCTATTTATTTATTACGAATATATGTACAATTTAAAACATTCACAAAAGACTTACAAAAAATATTCGTTAAAAAAAATGTTTGCGGTTTCGAACCCTTAAGGTATGTATTTATTTAAAATATTCAAGGATATTCTCTGAAATCTTTTTACTTATTTAATATAATAATGCATCTCTTATGTTTCTCTGAAATGTACCTACATATATTTAATTTAGAAACTAAGTATTAATTCATTTGATTGAGTGAATTTTCTCCCCTTTTTTTGTAGAAGTTTTCTCACTCAATTCACAACTGCATAACATGGTGTTATGCAACTGGCATTGCTACTCCACCATCGCAATACATCCATCCATTCCGTTCATATACGAAAATTCATTTCTCTTAATTGACTTAACGTGACTTGGACTTGAGAAAAACCAATTACAAAGCCACATTAATATCTGGCAACAATTTGCTGCCTTTTGAGCAACACAATTTTGTGCTTGGCATGCAACCAAAATTTTAATTAAGAAAATCTTTTCAAGATTGGGGGTGGTTTGGGCTGCAGGTTGTTTTTTCGGCGTGGGCGGCTTATGCACAAAATAATCTTATCAAACATTTTGGCAATTAATTCGACAGAGTGACAGGGGGTTATATAGGGGGGAAATAGAGCCCCAAACAGAAGCTGCGGATTGGCCAGTTGACCATAAAAGCATTTTAATTTCTTAATTTACCACAAACTATAAATCATGGCCTTAGGTGTTTTGGCCATATAATGTAAGCCACCTTGCAGTGGCATTCGCATTCGCACCATTTTCCACCATTTCGCAGTCGCTATGGAAATGCCTTCCATCTTTTCCTCCGTGACTCTATACACTTCAAAAAATTAAAACCTAAAAGGGTTTAATAAATAAATCAAGACAGAAAAATTGTAATTAGTAAAGAAAAAATCAATATGCAGTTACAAAAACAAATAATTTTTAACAATAAGTCTCAAGAAACAATATCCGGATAAATATCGATGTCTTTTTGGAATTTGAAATCAAGAAATAAGACATTTGCTAAGAAGACTCCAATATTAGTTGGTTAAAAATCTGATGAAAGAAAAGATTTATTTTTGTTATCTACCAGGAAATAACATTTTAGCAGAGGTCTTCCGATTTCACCTAAAGCTGGTTACGAACCAAGAGCTTGTTATTTCAAACCCTAAAGAAAGCTATCCATTTTGATAACCATTTGGTATCCTTTAATTTTTCAGTGCATTTTCCAGACTAGCTGGGGTGTTGTAAAAATACCAAAAATACCTGGCTGCCGTGTTGGTCACGTCGTGGCCGCCTGTCTGGACCAGCGGCTTCATTAGGTGATGCTTGTACATATTAATTAAAATGTGTATCCCGCAGATACACTCGTATAAGTGCAGAGCCGAGTGCCGTAGATGGCCGCCACTAAATCATCTCCCTGGGCAATGCAATGCGACGACTATTTGCACTGCTTTCGCATATGGAAATCGTTGCAACACGCCGAGTTTTCCAACTGCTTGCAATGTTTGCGTTAATTGGCAACACTTTCTTGGGGCCGGGCGGCCAAAAGAATGAAGCCAATTCAAATTGAACAATTACAATTAAGGAAAAATCTTAGCCGGCTCTCAGTTTGGCCACATAAATCAAGGAAACGTCAAAAATTTGCCATGACTTGTCGCGCGTCTGGGCTTTGGCCGCCAAATTAATGCAATTTTGTGTAAATTACTCATTAAAAACGAAATAAATTTGCAGTGGAAGGCATAAATCACGCCTTATAGAGCGGTACAAGCCACACACAAGCGGCAAAAAGGCAAACTACAAAAAAACGAGCAGAAACCTCAGCGAAACAAAAGTCTCGATTACCCAGGCCAGGTTGTAAATGAAATTTTCATTTTTTTTTCCGGGCAATCGACGGGGTGCGATGGGGGGAAAACTCCAATTAGATATTTTATTGCTAATGTGAGCTTGTCAGATCGCCCGAGCCTGGCCAACTCGAGTGTCCAGCTCGGCTGTCCAATGTGTTCGGTGCCTGTCTACATCAATTAAAAGCGCATTTGACAATGATATTTATACTTGGGCTCGGTCTTCGGTTTCTTGGTTTCGGGCCCCAAGTTCGGTAATTATAGATCAACTACTGGCCCAGTGGAAAAGTGTGCTCTCTTAAAAACTAAATACAACTGGAATGATTGGGCAAATGGCCCGATGCTGTGTGTGTGTGTTTTTGGGCCGACACAACATTGTTGCACCTACAACCAGCCAGCCAACAAATTATCAGCGGGCCATAACAAATGTAAAAATGTTTGAATTCGTAACAAACACACTCAGTGGCCATATTTGTTTGCTACCAAACTAATGACGTGGCTCGCTTGCCAGTGTTTTAATTGTGAAATGCCGTGCAATAAATTGCAAGATGGCCAAAAAACCGAATGAACAAGCTAGAGCACTATGGCAGAAACTTGAAATAAAAGCCTTAAATTTTACCTCATTATTAGTTTGGCTGAAACAGAATTTTGGAAAGGAGTTTTATCAGTTGGAGTAGGTGAACATGACATTAAAAAAAATACTAAATATTTAAAAATATAGGTTATAAAAACATTTTACACTAGACATTAATGAATACGGTACAGAACAATTTTAAAATCAATTTTTATGGTTTACTGTTGCTTGAAATATGTTTATTTGCCAGATTGTAAAATTTATATTATTTTTATAATTGTCAAACATTAATTTGATGTTATTTGCCCATAGTATATCGGCCAGAGCGAGCCCAATATCCTGAGTGCAACTGCAATTCAATTACAGCTCAATTTCATGGCAGCAGCAGAGAGCCATGGCCATTTAGAGAGCACGGCGACAATTTGTTTATGGAACCGCCACGGACTTTAAATGGTCCGGTGCATAAATCACTCGCTCTCGGCTCCGATCAACCCCGATTGTCAATTGGCAATACATATCGCCTATAATTGGGAAGGCGGAGCTGGGCCCAAAACATCACCCACCAGCAACAGTAGGTGCCCCATGTTGCTGCTGCTCCAGCTCCTCTTCGGCAGCTAGTTCACAGCAATTTCGCATGGCAAAACAATTTGCATGGCTCTCTGATCCACTTGCAATTAGACTGGCGTGCTGCCCTCAGGACAGCAGCAATATCAGCCATTGTACAGCAGCAACATGCCGCAGAGTTGCTAACTGTTGCCACTTAATTTCTTAATTCCATTGCGTGTTGTTTCTAGTACTAATGACATCATTTGCCAGCGTATACTGGCAACATAGCTAATGCTCTATAGGGATCGATTCTATACTGGCTCTGGAAAATGCCTTAAGATTAGTGATTTTTCAGCCAAGTTGCTATTATCCTTTGGCCGGTCAACTGGCAGCAACAAGTGGCACATTGCATGCCTGCAACTCGCTTGCAACACAACAGCAACTCTAGCCATGAGCAACTCATAAATGTGGCCAGCAGAAGGCAAACGCAAAACGACTTCCTGCTCCTCGAAACATGTCATGGCGGGCCAACAAACATGCAACAACAGCACACATGTCGCTGATGTACACTTAAAAAAAATTAACACTTAAATTGGGAAATTCCCTAAATACATTTTTTGTAAAGAGTAACCTGTCATTTCGATTAAAGATAGATACCTTTTCGTCTTGGTCTCAAAATGTTATTTTAATAAGCTGAATCTACAAGTAAAAACGAAAATATACTTTAAATCCGCTTTTTAAGCTAGAACCAAATCTCACGTAGAGCATTAGACTGTAAAAATACTTAAATTAGAAAATGTTGTTTTTTAAGTTTCAAATATTATGGTTTAAATTTTTTTAAGTGCAGTACCATATTTCATGCACGCAGGCGCCTCTTCAAAAAGTCGGTTGATGCTGCTGTGGTTGCGGCCTCTTCAGTCAATAAAAATCTCTGGCAAAAATGTTGCTTACGAAAATCCAACAACCACCGCATGCCAACATGATTTTTCTTGCTTTTTCATTATTGTATTGCGACATTTTTGCGTTGCCTGCTGCTCTGCGAAATCAAAGCACGC